TCTTTCTCTCTCACCTCTGCACCCTGTATGCTCTGGGAGGTTTAAGCCCCAGGAGAGTGGGGATTTTGCCACTATGGTCCCTGCTGAATTCCAGCTCCTAGGACAGGGCCCAGCTGACACAGGGACTGTAAGCACCAAGGGTACGATGAATGCTGGGTCTTCTGAGACAGCACCCTCTGCCCGGCTCCACCAACCCCCTCAGGAGAAAGAGGCCACAGACGCTGTTTCCAGGAGGGCGGAGCTGCGGCGCGAGCTTCAGGCACCACAGAGTGTCCCCTCTGGAAGTGAAAGCAACCAGCGCTGCATAGTGCCAGGGCATGCCCAGGGCCGCTGTGTGCAGCCCAGCAAGCAGCCAGGGCCAGGCGGTGCATCCTAGGGCCTCGCTGAAGCTGCACAGGGCTGGGTGTGGTGGGGACCTGCTCACCCAGGGACCCCTGAAGCAGAGGGGGCGTGGGACAAGCTCTCCACCACCAATCCAACCTGCCCCTCCACCACCACAGCCAGATCACAGGCAGGACCCCGAATGCTCCCTGCATGGTGGGCAGACACACCTCCACCTCCTCCCCACTCCTGTCCCCTCTGGTGCCCACACAGTGCCAGCCCATCCTGTCTACTGACACTAAAGCTCAGCATGGGACAGGGCCCAGCTCCAGTCCAGAGAGCCCTTGCTCCACCGGGGCCCACAGCAAGGTTGTGGTTGCAGCCCACACACGGAGGACCTGAGGGCCCAGAACAGAACAGGACACTCAGTTACCGGAAGAGCCGCAGAGCCAGCCCCAAGCAGGGAAGGACGTGCTCCCCCTGACCGGAGAGGCCTCCTATGGCCCTCACCCCACTGCAGCCCCGCCGCCTCCGCCACGAGTCCCCAGCTCCTGCTGCTCCAGAGCCTTGGGGACCCAGAGAAACATACACATCCGCCTGCAGCTGGAGGCCGCACACCATGCACCAGGGCAGGCCATGCCTGCCTCCTGGACCCCATATTCTAGGCCTTGCTAATCGGGAGGGGCTCAGCTTGCTCACCCTCCCAGGAAGGTGGCCTTCCTGCCCTGCCACTCTGAAGGTCTTGCCCGCTGTGACATCAGAACCTGACGTCAGAGCAGACAAGAAGTGTCAAAGAACCTTTGAGCCCTCCTCTGCCGCTCACTGGCTGTGTGGCCCCTGGAAAGTCACTTAACAACTCTGGCCCTCAACTCCCCATGAGGAAGCATCATCAAGGTGCCTCTCCAGTGACACACGAGGGGACTGCATCCGATAAGATTCAGCCGCCGGGCAGAGGCGGCTGCTGCCTATCTGCAGTGGTCCTGCTCCGTGGTCTCACCAACCCGCTCCCTGGGCTTCCTAAGAAGGTGACAACATGGGAAATCCTACCCCCTGAAGCAGACTCAGAGAGGGTCCTGGGGCTGCGGCCCACCCAGCCTATGGGTAGGTTGGCCGGAGGAGCCTGCTAGTGAGTGACCACAGACACCACCCTGTAAGTCCCCATAAAGGCCTCTTTGGGGTCCACTGAAATTAGAAGTGGGTATAGTGACAAAGGCTGAGATCCCAGCACTCAGTGAGACTGAGGCAGTAGGATCCCAAGCCCAGCCTGGGCAACATATTTGACTTAGCGAAACTTGTGTCCATATAAAATATTTTTTTAAAGGGTTAGAGTTGTAACTCAGTGCAAAGGCCACAGGCTCGGCCCCCACTCACACCAAAAAAACCAAACGAACAAAAAGGAGGTAGAAGAATCTCGTGGGCCTAGGCTGGAGCGAGTAAGGTTGTAAGGCAACTCACCAGCATTAGGTAAGTTCCCTTTTCTCTGACGTGCTCTGGGATTGCCCTCCATAATGTGACATCTGCCCACCGAGAACCAGGTGCCTGGTGACAGAGGGACCCCAGGAAAGGCCATCAGAAGAGCCACCATGCTGGGTCCCTTCCAGGGCTGGCGTCTTCCGGCCACAGGACCACCGCAGCCCCCAGGATCCATGACCCATGTGGAGGGTGGGAGAACAGGAGCCTCCGGCCTGAGACAACACTGGCCTCCCCCATGCTGCCCTCCCTGGTGGACCCTGGCTGGGGTGCTGGAAGTGGTTTCTTTCTGGGAGAAAACGTGGATGAATAACAAGCAGTGGGGGCCACAAACCACAGCGCCTCCATTCCTCGGGCCCTCTGCTCTTGAGCTCCGGCTCAGATCCCTCTGGCCGAAACCCCCACAGCTCTGGGCCTTGGGTTCCCGTCCAGAGCCAGAGAGGCTGGACCAGAGTGGGTGTAAGCTCTAAGATGCCCCCAGGCCCAGAGCAGGGCCCACCCCAGCACCCCGGCTGCTCCACGAGGCCCCGCAAGTCCTCAGCGCTGACAGCAGTGCTATGGGTTACCTCAGTCCTCGGGCCACTTCTGCCAGGTCCTTGTGGCAGAACGGGGACAGGCAGGTTCAGACCCACATTCCTCTCTGAAGCCCCGTGGAACCCAGGATGGCACTAGGGACACCAGGGCCAGCTGCCACCCGGGAGGGGCTGCATCACCTGAAATACTTCTGTGGCACAACAGTGGGCATCACAGAAGCAGAAAAGGCACTCCACTCCCAAAGCAGTCTCTCAGGTGACATTCCCAATGACAGCAGGAGGGGACGGCGGCCTCCACAGCCAGGGAGTCTGAATGGATGACCCCAGGTCGGTGCCCTGGTCCCTGAGGACGGATTCATGTCCCCGCTGGGCTGTTCCTACAGACCTGTCACAGGCCAAAGAAAGCACGGCTTTCCACTGCATGGGAGGCCCTAGTGTGTGCCGGGCACTGTGCTGGGCGCTGGGATGCGGGGGACGCTCACAGACAAGGACACTGTCCCCTAATGGGGCAGCGCACACAGCCATCTCTGCAGAAGTGAGCCAGCAATAATGTTGGAAAAGCGGCACAGCCTTGCAGCGATGCAAAGCCAAGCAGTGCGCTGCAGTGTGGGATCGCTGTACACACAACACACAGCCACGAGAAGGTGCCACGGCGTGAGCGGGGAGGGCAGGGCCACGGCTCCAGGGAGGTGAAGCTCGCTGGTACCTGCCATCCCTGGGCAGACGTCCAGGGCAGAGGTTGCAGGCTGTGCGTGGCTGGCCAGGCCTGGGGTCCTGGGAGGTGCGCCACGGGGCCATGTGGACTTCAAAAGTCCACCTCTGCTGTGGATGTTCACCTGGTGGCCAAGTGGCCTTGTGGGCAGGGGAGGGTGCAGGGACAGGGTGTTGGGCTGCTGGGGTTGGGGCAGGAGTCCAGGCAGGGGCAGCTGGGGCTGGGGCTTGAGGTGGCAGGGAGAGTTGGCTCCACAGTACCTGGAGGAAGAACTCTGAAGTGACTGAGGTGAAGGAGAACATGGGCCTAAGAGGAGGCATGCAGAAAGCGAGGCCTGGCCCACAGCGCCAGGAGCCTAGGGCAGCAGCGCGGAGGGACCAGGCTGCCATCGCCCTCTGCTAGAGGGGACTCTTGCCTGCAAGCTGGGTACCCAGTCTCCCACGGCCTGAGGCTCCCAGAGGAAGGATCACAGGTGGGACGGGACGGATGTGTTCTCTGAGGGCCC